CCCCAAAACCCCAAAACCCCAAAACCCCATGAATTTATAATACCAAATTCAAAGATTTATCAAATTATATGAATAATATTAAGAGAGTCTCCATAATAACTATAGGAAGATATAAATCTTGTAAATTGATTTAATGTATTTCACAACTCATTATGCCTCTTGGTATTATTGAATTAAGCCAATTATCTTTTAATTTCTTCTTCTTGTAACTGCAAGTTCCTCATTCTTCCACTAACTTCCTTCATCTTAGATTAGCTACTGAAACTATCAACTGTTGATGACACCATTCCCATACCTGCACTAATGCCACTACCGACTGCAGATCTTAAATTTAGTTGAATGTCACTCTAATCCTTGGTTTTACTTTGACTTTATGATAAATTATTGACTTCATTTTACTACTAATTCATAAGTGCTTTTTTCATGTTTTGGAAGTCCTGAATCTACTTGTCTATCTCGTCAATTAATACTTTTTCTTAACTCAAATTCTCAATTCTCTTAAACTTTTCTCTTTAACTCGTGTACAATTGTTATTATTAGACTTAAGGCTATTGTTGATGAAGCTACTACTGTGGTTGAGCTTATTATTAGAGTTATTATTGCTAGTATAGCTACTATTAAAGCATTTGAAGCTATTGATACTGTTAAAGCTGCTATAATTAAAACTCGTACTATTATTTTAGCTAAAGAGAACTATTTGATTCTAATACTTAAGGATATAATCCAGTTTTCTCTTCACTTTAATAATGATGAGATTAAGACTTTTTCTGATCAAATATAGGTTGTTTTGGGATTGATTCAAAGTTGTTTTCGAACAAGTTCTTGTCCTCCATTTGATTACTTTCATTTTGAGTCTAATTCTTTGATTCATGCTCCTTAAGCTTTTATTTTTCCTCCTTCTCAATTTATCTTCGCAAGACATCTCTCTCTTTGGAAAGTTCAGCTACCTTTAATTCCATTTCCTTCAATCTTTACTTTTCCTTAGTAGCCTCATTCACATGATTTTATGAGGAAGATACTATTTTCATATTTTTGTTCCTTGATATCTCAGTTTACTCAATCAAAGATGCTTTATTACTAAGCCTTCTGGGATCTTTCATTGGAGTTAAAGATTAAGCTGGCTGCTATTATGAATACTAGTTGTTTTTTAATGGCTATTTTACTTATTATTTTTCTTGATTTTCAACAATTTTTGCTGACTATCTAGCTATTTCTGTCCCTCTTTATTACCTCTAAGGAGATTATCTTTCTATTGTATCTTAAAGCTGTCCTCTTGATTTGTTATTCATATTCATTCTAGTTAGTCTTAATCCATTTTGGTCATCAACAGATTACTCTTAAAAATTCTTTGTTGGTGAAAGATTTCTATTATTTGATACATCTCTTTTCTGAGACTTACTTGCTGCTCTTTTCTTATCTCCTTAGTTTGGCGATTTAGTTTGAATGAGACCACTATCGAGCAAGGAGTAAATATACTATAAAGTATTAGTTTATAACAATAGTAAACATACATAAGCAAATTAATAGGCTGATTAAAGGAAATTTTGAACTATTTGATTTCCCTAGTTCTCTGGATTAGACTGTACTATTACTCCAAGACTTTTGATAAGGCCTATTTAATAATGAATATTTGGAATTATTTTTACCAGAATGATAAACCAAGTTTTCGATTGATTGTCTAATCTTTTGGAGATTGTTATAAGCATTACCAACACTACTTAGGTAGTCTTAGAAGTTTCTCCATGTTTTCTAGACTACATTGCATTTATCATTAGTAATCATAATGTTGAGATCTACACCACTAAGTAACATGAGTAGAGCTTAACCTTGTTTGACTTCATATTAATCAGGGTTTCTCTTTCCTCTAAATATCTAGAGAAGTTTCACATTTATTGGCTTAAGACTTTATTCGAATTCTGAAACAAGCATGTTATACATGTTACAGTCATCCTTAGAGGCTTCCACTACAATTTTTAAGTCATCATTGAAGATATCATATCCATTAGTGTTTCTGTACAAAGTCTTGGGGTTTGAGAATCTATTATTTAATTCTTTTGCATTATTTTACTGGGTTTTAGGACTTGATTATGATTTTGCAGATTGCAATAGAGATCTCTTCTCGTTAGAGCTATATAAACTTTGCTATTTACTCTATAATTCTTTTTGTTCCACTAAGTCTTCATCCTCATCCTCTAAAGCAGCCTATGATCTGTGTCTAGACAAATTATTTTATCTGTTATTCCTATTTTGAGGATTTGGAGATTTAAGTTCGTATTTTTATTCACACTAAGATTTATGATAAGAGTTTTCAGAGAAATTATTGGAAAATAACTATTAGTTTGTTCCTCCAGATTTTTATGTTTCTTAGTTTTCAGTAGTTTCTTAATCACTTTCATCAATAATCATGCTCTTTTTAACTCTAAATTTATCGTTTTAGTTTGCATTATCAATATTTGGTGCTTGAATATTCATCTAAGCTGTGCTATTATTACCTAAGGTTTACGCATGAGCATCTTATACCAATTATCTTAAATCTTGATGCTTGTCGACCATCTCTTAAAATCTTTAGAGTAAAATCTCACAAGTTTTATCAATCAAATTCTGATAATCCTATTGATGTGATATTTCTTGATGCATTTGATTTTAATTTCTGTTGCTATCACCCTATTTTTAGGTAGATTCAGAATTTCTTAAATGATTATGAATCTCATGACTTAAAGAATTTAATTCCTAAACTAAATCGTGCATATTAGACGAATCCTCAGATTCCACACTATATAATAAAATTAATTTGATAAAATCTTACTCTCTCTCTGAAATTTTTAATTTAGATATTTCATTGTGATCGCTGTTAGTGTAGAAAACTGGTTTATTCAAAGTGATGTCTCCTCGATCTCCAGTGATCTCTACTCTATTATTTACTAATTAGTTCATTTCCTAACCATTTAATGTGATATCATTCGTGTTAGGATCAACGTTAATGATGTTAACCACTTACTCTATACTCTAAATGCTCTTATGATTCTCACTCTGGTTATGGGAATTTTCTTATTAAGAAATATTTGACATAGAATTTCTTTTTCTAAAGGAATGATTAGCTACCTTATCCTAGGAGAGTACTTAATTGGTATTGTGAAGTGATTTGAGATTCTAAATTATATCATCTCTCTTTTGGCTCAATGAGTTATGGTTCTATATGATTAAATTATCCTAATTCTTTGGTGTGCAGCTAGTAGAGTGAATAGTTTTAGATTGATAGGTAGTAATTAGTTTTCTCTTGTAATTACTCTGATTTTCGTTCAATTGAGAATTCTATGAAGCTCTAATAGGACTCATTAAATTTGGTCTTGTTTAACTTGTCTCCTTTTGATGCTTAGGCTTCTCAGTAGTCTGATAAACTGATTTAGAACCAAGACCTTTAGGTATAGGAGAAGTCTTTTGTTATTTAGAGAATAATGCTGGCGGCTTACTATCATTCTGAATGGTTTAGTATGAATTCTAAGTATTTTTCCTTTTTTCTGATACCTTAGTTGATTTTTAAGATTGAAGTTTGATTTGGGCTTCTTTTTAAACAATATTCTTCAGCTTAGCTGATTAAACGCTTTCTCTGACAGCTTAAACTTCTTAATACTACTATTACTATTTTTGAACCTCTTGAATTTCAATCTTGACTGACTCTTATTCTTATTCCTTAATAACTTCGTCAGTCATAGGAAATAAGAATTATTTCTATTATGAACTTAGAGGAGATTCATCGCATTTACTTTGAAGCATTTCAACTGGTGGGCACCTTTCTTGCTCTTAATCTTCACAAGTTTCTCTATGAAGTTTAGCTAGAGATGCTGTATTGTCTAGCTTGAAAGAGCATTAATTTTGAGCTATTTTGATCTATTTAACGTGATCTAGGTAAGACTTGAAAAATGCTAATCTGTTTAAATCTTCAAATCTTTGAATCTTATCCTCCAGATTTTGCTTGCTTTGGCTTCCAGACTTAGTTCTCTATCGACTTGGTGTTTTTTAATTCTCATTATTCTAGTTTTTATCAAAGAGCTAAACATTTCCAGTTGCTCCGTTGTTGTAATTTGAGTTAGACATATTATTCCTTGATCCATCCATATCCTAATTAGCGTACTTTACTGCAGTTGCGCTATTTATGCTATTGTCAACTGAATTTTAAGCAATCTACTCGATTTCCTCAATAATAAACTGATGAGTCTTCTGAATGATCATCTTCTTCAACTTATTATTGACGTTATTACCCTGTAGCTCTTATACTCGGCGATCTTTTTCATCATCCATTAAATCATTGGCTGTTTAAATCCTCTCTTATCTTATTTTAATCTCCAAATTAACAATATCTTGTTCTTGATCTTCTTCAGTATCTTAATTAGGGCTGGTCTCCAAATTAACTCTAACCTAAGCTGGATGAGCGAATGAGCTTCTCTGGGGAGTGACTTAGTTTAGAGATTAGCTATGCATCTTTTACTGTGATTGATGCTTTAGTTACTGTTGCTATTGCTTTTGCACTTGAGAGTAGTATTCCTTATTTATTTTCTACTCTATTGAGACTTTGGGTGACACCATTTTCTTAGACTTGCTTAATGAACGTGTTCTAGGAGTCTAGTACAGTGAGAACTTCGTGGGCGGAGAAGCTAAAAGCTTCACCTACTGAGGCACCTTTTTGTTTGACTTATTGTTGATTGAAGTTTATTTCTGTGCCTTCATTTACAAATTATTAACAGCTAATAAATAAATTATATTTAATCAGATTCTCTAAAATCACTTTACTCCGAAAAATTAAATTATAACATTTAACCTAATTACTCTTAAATAAATAATCATATTTTCTCATTTAGTAAAACTTGCCTACTGCTATTTAGCTCTGGATTCTCTTTGACCTCTATCCACATTATTTTAGAAAGTTCAATCCCTTTCAATACTTTTTTAAGAAATTTTTTTCTTTGGCACTACTTATGGACTCCCCATTTGTTATAACCTTTCTTGCTAGTAATTTAGATTGTGGTTCTATGCTTAATTGCCTCTCAAATTTGCATTTTAGCTCAATCCATGTATTCTAAATCCATATATTGTAGGAATAAAAGGCTATGGCCCTAGCTCTGGTACATCCTTGAGGGAATTCATTAAAAATATGCTTGGGAAAGAAGTTCCAAAATAAGCCCCATCAAGGTTCAATCTGCATCCTTTGGTGTTAGTGGCATGAGCAGATCGTTACCCTTTAGGTACGAATACATCTTCACATTTGGGACAGAATATTTTAACCTTAGATACCGAAAGTTCATCTGATAAACCAATAGGCAGGACAGGTTAGATACCACATTGCACTCGAGGGCATGTTCCAAATATACGATCTTAAAATTTTTATCGCATCATTTGAAGCCCTCTGGGTGTTTATATAAATCTCGCATGAATCAAGCCATATAAATCAAATGCCTATTGATAGACAACAGAAAATAATTCTTTTTCAAGATCCTTAGGTTCTGGGGATTCCTCTAATATCATATTTAAAGCTTCATTGTAGTTTTTGAATTGCTTTTTCAATCCAGATTGATTGAAGTTATCTCTTATAAACTAGTGATCAACCTATAAAAATTATTTATTGAGGAATTAATTATTTACTTAGCAGAGAAATTCATGGCCATCAATTGAACAATGCCATTCTATCCAGGATATTTATTCTACTTGCTCTTATTAGGATTCATCTTCTGACATAGCTAAACTATCCTCATGTTTGTATTGCATTTAAAAATCAAAATTTTAATTTCTAGAATGGCTTAAATAGTTTCTCACGGGGTTTTGGGGTTTTGGGGTTTTGGGGTTTTGGGG